GATGCGAGGGAATCTCATCTCGGGTTTTCCTGGGGCCTGGGAGTTGGAGTTTGGGGGGGGGGGGGGGGGGGGGGATATATTGGGGCCCCCCTCTGCCTATGCCGAACCGACGTCCCTTCCCTGGGAAACCTACCACAGGCTACAGGCCACCAGACATGGCCATGGTGCTGAGGTAAGGTTTGGGGGTGGGTGCGTTCTACAGAACTAAGGCAAGGACGACAATGTTCGGGGCAAAAGCGCACGAGGAACGACAACCGGGTCGGGAAGAGGAGCTGACTGAAAGAACGGGGACCATGGAAGACATGGAAGGCGTAGAAGCTGTGGAAGACGTGGAAGGGGCCACGCATGAGCTGGGAAGGTGCGACTAAGGAGTCGTCCATGTCCTCGTCCATCAGCCATCAGGTAGGTAGGAAGGCACCGCACTCGCTCGTCCATCGTCGCTCTCGGCAGGCACGAAGGTAGGCGCAGACAGATACCAGATACCTACGTACCTGAGATAGTGCGGACAGACGCAGCACTGTCTTGTCCCATACCCAAGGTGCCATACGATGCGATGCAAACACGATACCTTACGACACAGTGGTGCAGTGCAGAGACGCCGAACATGCTCAACTGGGGTTTCATTTTCGGGAAGGTGTGTGATGCGGAGTTCGTTCCGCCATTGCCTACACTACCTGCCCGCCTACCTACCTGGTGGCCTGTAAAAGGAGGCAGGTGCAAATATCTCAGGCATGGGAGCCAAGGCAAGGCCAAAAAGTCACAGTGCCCTGCCTTGCCTTGCCTTGCCTGCCAGGGAGGGAGGTCACGAAGGAGACAGGCACCTTCCCGTACGCCTCCTTGACATGACGGAAAAGCACTGGTGCAAAAAAAGATTATTTCCTTCCCTTCCCCTCACTTTCCTTATTGCCTCATTAGAGATATGAGGTAACAAGATGCGACCAGGTGAGGGTTTCCCTGGAGAAATTGGCACAATCTTTGATGAGGATCACGCGGGAAGGCATGCGCACGACGAGTACCAGTATGGGATGTGATTGCCCTGAGCAGCAGACACAGTGAGACAGTGACTCGATACCCTGGGGACTCGGCCGATGCGCCGACGGTGAGGTCAGTTGAGAAAACATGCCTGCCTACCTACCTACCTACCGGTAGAAGCCTGTCAAAGAGCCCAGGGTTTGTAGGTAGAGGTATTCAGCGAGCATAACGCAGCGATGGATAAAGGATGGCATGGGCATAGCATAGCCCGTTGATCTAATGCAGACTTTGACGATGACATGCCTGTTTCTCTCACCTCATCTCGCGCTAGACTGCGAATTATTCGTGTAGTCTCTCGCTCCCATCACTCTCTCACATCTCACGCGTCCAGCCCCCAAGGCGCAGTTATCAATCTACGGCAAGGAATTCTTTCTATCTGCCTGCCTACCTACCTAATAGTGCAGTCCGTGTGATTCCGTTTCGCCGTACCCGCAGATTCGGCGCTAAGAGAAGGTGAGGACGATCGGGTGGTTTAGGTTCGCGTCACCGCCCTGTTTGGAGGCAATGGCACACCCTGAAGGCGTCGGGTAGCCTGTGCAAATGTTGACAGGCCTGCGTCCCGGCAAAGCGTGAGCCTAACTGCTGGGCGGGCCAGCCATGTACGGATAATGACAAGCCAGGCAAGGGTAGCTCGATTTTGACACTCGCCTGGACGACGACCGAGCCGACAGTTCGCATTACCTCACCATCTTTTTCTTTTCTGGTGCTTCTTTCCTCAGTGCACACCGCCGTCTCCTGAATGACGTCCCCCCTTGACCTTCACCTTCCTGGCCAAAGCTCAAGGGCCTTGTCATCCTCGTCGTCCTGTCTGTCTGCTACGGTACGGTACCGCACCACGGTATCTGATCATACACATTACCTGACCGTACAGTCGCCGCTCACAGTGCTCACCCTGTGTACATAGGACCATCTCCGAGGAAGCAGCAGCAGCAGTGCAAGAGCAGGCCCTGGGCAGGCATCAGGTTGTGGCCATTGGCAGCTGCTTCCCTCGAAATTTTCTCGACTTCCCTGGCAGAGAGCGGCATGGTGAGCCAGGCGGGTACTTGTGCCTTTGTACCCTTCTGGCTTTGCCTGCCAATTTATTCTTCCTTCTTCGTGTTGTGTATTTGAATTTCTCTTCTCCTTGGGACTTTCCTCTGCCTTCCATCTCCTCTCGTCCTTCATTCGTTTTGCCTCTCCGTCCTCATCCCAACTGCGACCTTTTATCTGCTGCCCAGCAAGCCTGACTCGACCCGAATTCCATCGAGAACCGAATCGCGGACGCGGCAAATCCTCTGATATTTATCAATTAGCCCCGAAGTGGACATCCCGAGAGAGGAAAAAAAAGGAAAAGGAAAACGGGTCCGCTTCCCTTCCTGCCCCCCCTCCCGGCTCACCTCCCACACCTCTCACTTCACCACTCCCACACCCTCCCCCCGAAAAATTTACACCAGGCGTCATCCACCGCAGATGCTTTGATCTTGTACCGCGGTCTCCAACTTTCTTGTTCTGGTCACCATCTGCACACGATACCTGGAAACTGTGCTGTGCTGTACTCGACTTGGTTCACGCGCAGCAAACCGTCCTGTCTGTACCTTCCCTCTGTACCAGATCGAGAACCTACGCGCCCAGTCACCAGCACAAAACGAAAAAAAATTCATCCCAGGTACCTTTCGCGCCTGCCGCTGGAGCAAGGAAGTTTGCCCACTTGCCTTCATCACTTACCGAACCCCCCCCCCCCCCCCCCCCATCCAACCATCCACACCTTTTCTCTTCTCTGTCTCCCATCGCCCACCACGGTGTCAACCAACTCAAGCGACCAACGGTCCAACCTCCCACACATTCTCCGAAAAAGGGCCTTCATAAAGGGCAGACAGGATCCACTCCTCCCAGAAGGGGCGACGTCCAAACCCACATCTTCCCTTTTTTCCTCCACCCTTTGGACGGACCACTACTCAACGGTTCCTGCTTCGCACACCCTCGGCACCCACCCCGGCAAGACCACTTTTTTTTCTGACCCCCTCTCGGCGCCGCCAGGTACCTGACAGCTTTTTTTTTTTCTGCCGAAAAAGAGCAACGCGAGAGAGAAAAAAAAAAATAAGAAGGATCGAGCCCCGTCGACCCACTCCCGACCCTCCCCAAAACCACCTCCAAACGGGATCAACTGGAGCCTCATCCCACCACAAAACCCACCTTCTCACAAAACAACACCTCTTCGCGTGTTGTCTCTTTTCTTGGGTTCGCGATTTCCATCATTCATTCACTGGTGGAATTTGTCTTCGAGCTCCTCGACCTCTCTCCTGCACTCACACGAGTATTTCCTTTCTGCTCGGCGCGCGCAGAAAATTCAGATCGGCTGGGTCGACGACTTCATTGTCCTTGTCCCACAAAATTTTCCCACGAGGCCGTTGACGAGTCCCCGTACAGACGTAGGAACGCGTCTCGACACCTCGCAACTCGAAGCTCTGTGCGCCTTTGTCTCGACAAAAGGCCATCAGACTCGCGGATAGCATGGACGCTTCCCAGTACCCTACCAATGGTATAAACACGAGCTCGGCCTCCTACCCGTCGCCGCCCGCAATCACGCCTCACCAGCTGCAGCACACCAACTCTCCCCTGCCTCACCAGACTCTGCCGCCTCTCCAGCCGCAGACCTCCGCGGCCATGAACCAGATGTACGGCAGCAACCCTCACACTCCTCGCACTCCCGCGACCCCGAACACTCCGGGCTCTGCGAACAACATGCCCGCCTACCCTCAGCAACCTGGAGCTCAGGCTGGACGCGGCGGTCCTTACCAGCAGATGGGCCAGTACCCTCCCCCGCCCCAGGGCTACGGCACTCAGTCTATGCTGCCCCAGACCACGATGGCTTCCTCTCACCCGCAGCCCATCGCGCCTGCTCCTGCCTCCGGTCGCGTCCCGCCCGTCCTTCGCCCCATGCCTGCTGGTGGCGTTATGCCTCAGCCCGGCATGAACTCTCCCTACGGACCTGGCTCCGTTCTCCCTGGAGGTATGGGCGATGGCGACCAGCCTACTCACGTGGTTGGCTCTCAGGGCCGCCGCGGCATCCTTCCCAGCGCTCCTGGACGCCCTGCCGCCACTCCTGCTGGCCCTGGCAACGCAAAGAGCACCGTCATTCCCGTCAAGGATGCGGACGGCAAGTTCCCGTGCCCTCACTGCACCAAGACTTACCTCCACGCCAAGCACTTGAAGCGTCATCTCCTGCGCCGTGAGTATCCCCCAATTGAGACCCCCGAAGCTGACGCTGACCAAAACGCGACTCCCAGACACGGGTGACCGCCCCTACATGTGCGTTCTGTGCCGCGACACTTTCTCGCGTAGTGACATTCTCAAGCGTCACTTCCAGAAGTGCTCCATTCGCCGAGGCAATCCGACTGGTGCTAGCCACTTGTCTCACCCTCAGGCCCACGTCAAGAAGAACGCTGCTGCGCAGAAGGCGGCTCTTGGTCAGGATGGCGGACTGAACCACCTCAATGGTCTAGGTAATATCCCTGCGGATGGCATGGTTCAGCCCTTCGGTATGATGCCTGTGTCGGATGGAATGGGCAACCTCGCGAACGATCAGAGCCAGCTGTCTCGCTCCAGCAGCCTGACCAGAATTGATAATGGCAGTAACCAAGACAGAAGGGGTTTGACAGGTTCTGTCATGGATGCTCAGGGCCGTAACGGCCAGTTCGAGCAGGCATACAACGGCGATGTCCCTAGCTCCATGACGCCCAATATGAATCAACAGATGCAAAACTACAATATGCCCCCGGGTCAAAATGGAATGTCCATGTATGGCGGGTCGAACTCGAACCAACAATCGGGCCTTGATTGGTCTCAAATGTTCCAGGCTGGTGCGCAACAAACCTACGCAAATACCTTCGAAACAACTCCTAATCTTGGACAGACGCAGATCGCAACCAACAAAGAGCCTAATGCTGGCACCCAAAGAACTGAAGGTCTCCCTGGCCCAACCCACTCCGCCGATTCCCTATTCTTCTCTACCTGGGGCGTTCCGCCATCGATTCAGGACCCTTACACCCATATTTCCAACCAGATCCTAAATTTCTTCTACCCTCCCGGCTCCCCGATTACCAACGAAAGCGCCGGCTTCAACCTGTATTTCTCGGCCGAAAACATTCGCGATTTTCTGGAGAAGTACACGCACTTCCATGTGCACTTCCCCATCCTTCATACCCCGACGTTCCGTATCCTGGAATCGTATACTGGCTTACTTGCAGGCATGTGTTGCATGGGCGCCTGCTACTCAGACCGTCTCTCTCCAGATCACGTGCGCGACATGATGAACTTCCTTCGGGCGGCTTTGATCCGCGATGTCCCATTCCTGGCCAACACCGTGGGCTCACGGCAGACTGGAAACGCTGACAACAGTTCTTCGGGCGATAGCAGTCGCGAGCTTGAGGAACTTCAGGCTGTTATGCTGCTCCAAATTCTGCTGCTCTGGAACGGCACACCTGGGCACCGTGAAAGCGCGCGTGAGATCTTGCCAGCAATGGCGGAGCAGACTCGCAAACTGCGTCTGATGGAAGTTTCCACAGCCATGCCCCTCTTCAGCCTGCTGCACCAAGTCAACTTTACCCCTCAGAACTTCGACGTCTCCACATTCGATTGGGGTGTGTGGGTTGAACAGGAAAAGCGGATACGCCTCATGCACATTATCTTCCTCTGCAACTCTGCCATGGAACTTTATTTCAACGCCAACTCCGAACTCGACAGTTTCGAGATGCGCATACCTCTTCCTTCGGACGACGCTGCTTGGGATGCGCGGACGAAGAAGGATTGTGAGGACGCTCTCGGTTTCCACGGGGGGGAGCTTGTGCGACAAAAGAACCCGAATGGCACACAACGCAGCAAACAGCCGGAGATGGACCTTGCCCTCAGAGCGCTGTTGCACGGGTCGTATCAGATACAACCTGGCAGCACAAACCTGTACGGCAAGTTCATCCTGATCCACGCCATCCTCTCCTTGATCCGACGCGCTCAACTGGACGGTAACGCCGTAATGAAGGGTTACGCGACGCCCCCGTTGAGTGACTGGATGGTGAATGGAGGATCTGATGGCACTGGTACAAACAGCGGAAGAGCAACACCTGTCGACCCCGCCACAAAAGCGATGCCCGCTCACGTTCAAGAATCTTTCCGCGTGGCGCTGCAAAAGTTCAAGGTCAACTGGGACGCGGACATGGTCAATCAGTTTCCCCCTGGTATGGCCAAGAACGCGCGCAGATATGGATTCTCTAGAGATGGCATCCATTTCTACTGGTTGGCGAGATACATGTTGAAGCACACGCGGGCAACGGATCTGCAGATGGATTCGGATCGTCGCTTCATGCAGGTGATGCAACTTCTGAAGTCGGTGAAGACATGGGTACAAACGGATGGAGCCTCGAGGGGCGAGGAATTGGGATCGGTTGGAGAAATCGACAAGGATTTTGGGTCGAAAAACCTCACACTCGACCTGGCGCGACTTTTCAAACATCTTTCGGCGGTGGTGGAAGACCCGGGAATCCCTTCAGTTCAGACGGATATCAGCACAGTGGCCGGCGGCACTCTCTGACACAACAAAACTCATCTGCATTTGGTGGCGTTTGTTTTATTTTTTCATTTCATTTTCATTTTCCTTTTCACGTTGTATCCTCACGGATCCGTTTTCATCGACTCATACGCGTTGTTGTTGAAAAGCAACCTCGATTCCCTACTGCATCAAAGCCGGACACGGTGGTTATTTTTGATATGCATCTTGTGGCGGGTGGTTTTGCGCAATGATAGACGGGGATGGTGGAGTTGGCACTGCATTAGACTGCGATCAGATAGAACTTGGGAGGCTCTCGGGTGACACCACAGGTGGCCCGGCGAGGTTGTCACGATATTCATGGCTTTTCGCTCATAATGATTTTCGTTGAAGCGGTTGCGCACGGCTAGGCTGGTCTGGTCTAATGTTAGATGTCTCAAAATGGGTGGTACTCGTCGTTTATCGCGAAAACAAAAAAAGGCGGTCCGCAGCAGCGGTCTACCGCCAGCGCAGTTTCTCAGTGCTTCTTTTGGAAGTCGGCATGAACTTAGAGATTAGACATTGCAAAATTGAATCGACTGTACAAAATCACCACTTTGTCCTTGAATGATTGTGACTGCTCCAGAGACACCGTCCCTCACAAAATCGTAGTCTGGTCTCTTGACTTCTGCCTCACGACCTGTCGACGACGTGAACCTTGGGGACGTACTTGTCGACAACAGCCTTCTCCTCGACGGTGGGCTGGTACTTCTCCTCAGCCCTGTCGGAAAGGTAGAGGCCTGCTCCGCCCCAGGCCAGGACGGCGACGCCAAACCCGAGGCGGGTCTTGGGAGACAGGTTCTTGTAGGCTCTGTGGGCGTGCGGGTGTCAGCTTAGCGGGCGCGACTTGAAGTGGAACATCCCATGCCAAGACGTGGCCGGCAGAGAGTGGGAGGAGTTTTTAAGCTTACTTTAACATCTTGAGCTCGTGCGTGGGTGGGTGGATGCGTGGATGAAGGAAGTGAGTGGGTGATTACGCAGAAGAGCTTGACGGCATCACCGGCTCTAGTACACAGTCAGTCGGATGGCTCATCGAGCAGGTCGTCTGGTGGCTGGTTTCCTTACTGCAGCAACCTTGGCGGATTGGACGCGGTGAGGGAATCGGCAATGGCGCTGGCTGAGGGAAAGTTTTGGCGATGGGTTGATGGAGGAGGAGAGGTTCTCATGTTGGAAAAGGGCTGGGTCTGATTGGTTGGATGTCGAAATGTGGGTCAGTGGGAGAGTCTCTACCATCCACCACCCCTCGCTCGTTTGATTTAAGAATGTTGCAATGTCACTTCCTGGATTTCATGTAACGCCTAGAGTTTAGATGGCAGATTGATGGCCAGGCTCAAAAGATGTCCATGGCGTTCAAGCCACCCGCCGAGGTTGTGGAACTCATCCTCAACCACATATCCTGCAGGAACCTTCGGCAGGTCGGCTACACGTCTGTCTGGTCTGTGAATCTCTGGGCTATCTAGAGCTTCTAGCCTTGTCCATCTGCCTAATTTTAGTCCTTCTCAACTACTGGATAAAGTACCTTTTCCGGCACAAGGTCGCCCTCCCCTCTATTGTTGAAAGGAATGCGGTTTTACTTACTCCCCGATTGAGGCTCTCAGCCAAGACTGGTATAAGCCCAAGTTCGGGATCTGGAGTTCAATCATAGACTTAAGGAGTGTGATAGTGATACAACAGAGCGAGAAGTGATGAGATGGAAATCTGAGATGCTTCTGCTGTTGATAAGTGAGAAGATTTGAGCAACCCAATGAGGCTAGGACTTCGCTGAACTAATACTCGGTTTGGAAATTCTTGCGTAAGAGGAGGCTTGAGCATCAAACTTCAAGACGATTGAACACGGCACAATTTCAAGGCTCGTTTGACCTCCTGGTAAGTATGGTAGTAAAGTCTCAGGCACTTCAGGCGTTCCGAAGGTGCACGGGTGCCTGGACATGGGACCGCTGCTTGAAACTGACTATATAACTGAACGCGTTCGCAAGATGAGTTAGGAGGAAGCTAGAGAACGCAAAGCTGAGACTTAATTCAAAAGGCGTATGTTGTTTGCTCGGATGTGATTATGATAGCTGGGGCGAGCATGTCGTCGTCGCCCTCCTAGATACGTTCAAAGGCTATCAGCAAAAAGAGGAGATGAGCAAAACATACAACACCGGGCATTCGCCGGTCGTCACCGACCCGGCTACTACTCCAGCCCTCACTGGCTTATCTATGGGAGAGCGGACGGGATCCCGAGTTCTCCAGTGGGTATGGTCGTATGTGATGATTGCTGGAGGTCAACATACTTAGATACCAATCATCCACACATGACTAGCTAGGTCAGTATCATCTTTTCAATGTACGTTCCGTTTCAACAGACTTATCTGGACATTGAGGGAATCAAAGCAGTGCCTGCTTAACTGAAGTTCGCAGAAGTAGCTCTAGGTACAGCTGTCTATCATGCGAATACCCTACGCTTGTCATTCAGCTCTAAACCGCAACCTCACTTCGCTTCATGAGCTGCCATCGACCGTATACAACAAAATCTGAGTTTGTACTACTGCCTTTTCATCAGGCTGCAGTTCAGTCGATATGAAGTAAGCTTTTGATTAAGATACACTCTCTCACCTATATTCTCTCAAGGCCACTCCGACCTCGTAAAGAAACCTAGACTGGGCCTCCCGTGTCGAGAACATGCAACCAATCGACTCACTTATTAAGCATGTCAACTCTGGGCCACCGAGCTTAAACCTTGTCAGAAACTGTGCTTGCGAGACGGCTTCTGGCAACCTTTCTATGCGAGATTTACCTAGTATAGGGCACTGTTCATACCGATATACTACACGAGTCAAGACTTGTGACCTCTATAGTAGAAGAAAGAGTTGATACTTGCGTTGTTGATACTTCTGACGAAGAACCTCTTGTAATCTTCAACGTAACACGGCCGAATGCATTTCAGCTGCCTGTATCTCCGTCAAACGTGTTGGTGAGGTTCCCGGCTATGCTCTCGAGGTGGCTTCACCCGACGTTTTAGAAAGGATGTTGATCTCTCTACTCAAGTTGCGTAGAGATGACTTTACAGTTGAAGAGCCCCTCGTAGCCACGAGAAAAGTATCCCCACAGGGGGCTGGGCGTAATACGCTTTCTTTATCCTCATCATCAAGTTCATATCAACAGCCTGTCCTCATCCGAGTAAATCAATACAGGGGCATCGTATTGTTTTCTTCAAGATAGCAGCACCACACCCTGTGTTCACATAAGCCAAGCACCAGCGAAGCATTCTCGTGATCGTCAAAAGTGCCCGGGAGATAAACCAACTGCTCAGCATCGAAACGCATCACGAGAGCCTCAGGCTCGGACACCCTTCCCTCCCATACCAACAATGTCTCGCCAGTATTCCCCTGAAGATCGTCAAAGTCAATACGCCTACTAGTCGACCATACAGCCCACGGGTTGATCGTAGCCACAAGTCAAGTAAGTTGCTTTAGTCCGCAGTCTGGACCGTTCCAACACTCTCGCGAGATTTGATGGAATTTGGACAAGGGGAGACAACAACTTCCTACCATGAAGCAGTCACATTGTTTGCAGATTCAGACATCATACGTGGGAATCCCTGAAAGACACCGGGAACGATCGTTCGCGGCTGGTATTAGCTCACCAATCAATACCCTTGAGTCACACTATGAGAGCTTCACATCTTGACATAAGGGCGATACTCGTCTGAATTCATCCCATTCTTAGCCCTTGATCTACTGACGAAGCGTCACCGCCGTGTGATTGCAGACCAAACCGCATGAGCATATCTGGCATTAGGAGCTCTCGGATCGGACTATGGTCAAGGCCAGAGCTGGCCTGTTGAAGCACTTTTCCGAGCACACGAAGATATTTGTGTGACTGACCTATGATTAGAAAACACCTCGAGCAGAGAGCTATTGGTGTCGCCCATGGGTCAGTATTCAGTTGTGGTCGTTGTCAACTGCCTGTCTGGCCGCGTCACGAAGCTCAGATGGTCGGTGGAAGTTGTGATCCTTGAAATCTACATGAATTCACCGAGCATATCAAATGACTGAAAGCTCGCTACATCAACACTGCCGCACAACGTTCACGAGCCTTGTGGCTTAGTGGCAACACCGGCAGGTGTCCACACCTACCTGTCAACGCCATCCTGATTCTACGTGATGCCACCCGGAGGCCGATCTGTTGTTTCAAGAAACCAAGTCATCTATACGGCAAGAGGACGGATCCCACCAAAGTCTCCTCTAGACAGTGATTACATACGTACTCACACAACACCGAAAACTGACGCATCGTCGGAGGCAACGAGTTGGGTCGCAATGGCTTTCAATACAGTCCGACTTGGCGTGGTGGAGTAGCTTGAGATCGAATGTAGAATTCGTCATGTTTTCATTAAAGCGAAGCGGTGATATCAAGATGACGACTTGGCCCCTGTTCCATCGCTAGTTCACTCGATGCTGTAAGCCTTCAATGAGTTTACAGGAGAAGAATATTGTTGAGGTTTCTGGCGACCTCCTGGAGTGCTGGATGTATCGTAGCCGGCTGGTAGATTATGATCAGACACCAGAACCATGGCATGTGGGCGTGAATAAGCGTAACGCCCGGAACAGGGGCATACACCCGACCCTGGACGTCATTATCGGCGCCGAGGATGTTTGCCAGAGACGATTGTTGCCCCCTGACCTCACGTTCTTCAGCATAGAGCTGCATCCCATTAAAGCATTCCTCGCGTGCTATAATGATCGACTCATGTGACCTGTAGTGAACGACTACAGCAAACACAGAACAATCTCATTAGCCCTTCCCGTCTGCTCGAAGATGGCATAGATAGTGTTCAGGAAGAATGTCACACTCGCTCCCGAACTCCCAGGTCGGAGAGGAACACGCGAGGGGCACAAGAACTCACCAGAAGCGAAAGGGCAGTTGGAACCTTGTTACAAAAATCAACATCTGCTGCTTGACGCCAGCACTCACTTGAGGCGTAAACAGAGAAACGCTTACTTCTCCAGACCCTGCGGTGT